GATACATCAATCGAAACGCATCGACGATTTTTCCTCCTTTTCCTCTAACAACGAAAGAATATATTCGTATCTATTGGTCGATAACAACATTGGTCTTTGGCTACAAACTCTCTACTTAAACTTCAATTTAAAGAAGAAAATAGACGGTTTTATATTCTACAAAATTCATATCTTCATCTTCGAATAACTTTCGCTACCTTTTATCTTCACCTTCGAATATATTCATGGACAATAGGCGACAGCGGGCGCTACAGCCTGGCGTATGGTGATATCTTGTGTAAAATTGAATGGAAAATGTGAAATGTAAGTTCTTTGGATATGTGTCTTGATATTTGACAGAATCTCTTTTGGAAAATTGTATATATTATTAGACTGCTGATGTTTATGCATCTATGACAAGTGAAAATGTGTATGCGCACTCACGCAAAACGAAATATTAATGTTACTATACATATTAATCAATAAAATTTATTCTATGCGGATACTTCTCTTGATATTACCACTTGCTTGCGAAATTCAAGCTGTTTACTATTCAACGCTTTTCCGAAAAAGTTACCTTACCACAATATTAAACTATACATTTCACGAGAGGATCTCTCGGTGCACGTTTCATCGGTGATATAGTTATTGCATCCTAGACGCTGTAGCTCCCATAACGCGGCATAGTAGACGCCTAAAACTTGTTGGGAACAATCTCACCGCGTAGCAAACTTGACAGATACTTTCTTCTCGCCGACACGTCACAGGGAATATTATATTTTAATATTAATATAGACCTCTTTTTAATATCAATATAGATTGGTAACGTCTTCGAAATACTTTTATAAAATTATATTAAATACAATGTTTAATCCACCAGTAATTGTAAAAAGAATCGAATAGGACGGTTGTGAGCTTAACAAAAGTTTATATATGCGTGTATAGATAAACGTAACAAGTTTCAAAAGTTTATGTCAAGTACTTTGGCTACAAAAATATCATGAAAATTGTATGGAAACTGGTCCAAAAAAAAAAAAGAGTACTGCCTTAAGTTTTCGATGAGATGCATCAACTACATAATCTAACATTATAAGACACTTTCACGGGACTTTTTCAAAGGATCGCTTCCAAAATACTCGTTTTCGTGTCACAAGAGTCTCCATTTAAAAGTCAATGAACGGTTTCAGGAAAACAGCAGTACCATTCGAGGATTTAACAGCAACTTGCGACCCAGTTGTACCGCGGGTCTTAATAATACATTTTCAGAACTAATTTTATTCGCGGATTCAGCGCACATAATTGGAGAACCCGGCCGTGTTTGCCTTTACGACGAGAATTGAATGCGAGCACCAGTTCCTTCCAATGCTCCACTCTCGGTTGAAAAGAGCACCACTATAAGTGTCCGCTATTTCGAATCGCGATCATGCTCAAAGTTTCAAAAAATCGTGAAAATATGCTGCCCTTATGGAATGTGAAAGTATTATACGATACTTTAGGGAAGTTCTCAAACACGCGTTCGTGTGGACTACTTCCACGCTTCCACCGCTATTTCGTGAATCCTCCTGGCATGGCATCCCAAATAAGAGATTCGATCTATTCGGAAAAGGTTCCAAGCATAATACATACTTTCGAGAGACCAACAATAAGTGAAACGCGTGTAGTACAGTATTTATGTATTTGGAAATATGAAACAAGTTTCCCTATCGTTTCCGTATCGATTGCACGTGCTCGAATTGTGAACAATAGTTTTCGAGGAATTTTCTACAATGATACACAGGTTAAGAAAATAGTTGTGTTAAATTATACTATGTCTACCTGTTTATGATAATAGATTTAGGATGATAGATACAACGTTCTTAGAAAATTAACATTAAAAGATAGGTGGCATCTGCTATAGAAACATACTACGATCTAACTGCAAGCATTTCAAAGAATGTTACATTCCATACTTTCACATATTTTTATTATTATTAAAAAAGTTCTATTAAATATTTATTATTATAAAAAAAAAAAAGGTTTTATTAAAAATGTAGCATACCTTTTCGAAAGCCCTGGTCAGCAAATCTAAATTTCATCCCAGGACATTCGCTGCAGCTGTCCGGCGCGCAACACGCCGCGCCATCGGTGAAATATCAACGTTCACTGATTCGCGTGGACGATCGATCACCGTTAACGTTCAATTGCAACGAATATCCCCGGATGGCACACGAGTGCAGCCGTAAACAAGCGTAGGCAGTCACTTTGCATCCCGATGCGGCCTCGGTCCTGCGTATTCTGTCTTCGCGTATCGCGGAACATTATATCCTGCTCGAGGGGCGGGGAGGGGGGGGGGAGGGGGGGGGGCGCACGGGCACGGTTGCACGCTTGGAATTCAAAAGCGATGAATCGATCGACTCCTCGGGCGCAGAAAGAGACATTAAAGAGGGAAGGTGGGCGTCTGCCAGTGAATGGAACAGGTAGAAAGAGAAGCAGACGGAACGGAAGGTAAAAGCTCGACGAGGAAGAGCAGAGGGAGATCGACGATTATTCATCGCGGTAAACAAGTCATCCAAAAGCGATTACCCTGACCTGATGACGGCCAATTGTCTGTCAATTTGCAGCCAGTGGCTGGAGCCGTACACTTTTAGCTTGGACGGTAAAAGGGTGATGGGATGAATCCATCGTCGAGAAGAGTTTTAACTTGATGCGAATTTCATGGGTGGACGGGTGATCAGAGGGCTCTTGTAAGTGGCTTGAATGGCGAGCCTAGATTGCAAAGTCAAAGAAGGGATCTGGGTGTTTAAGTAAAGTAGCTCAGTGTGGTTCAAACAGGAATATGAATTTTAAGAGATTTAAAATGGGACTGATTACCTGAGAAGGGATGTAGCATTTGGAGGGTCTACTTTTGGGGACCTACGGCAACGTAGAACTCATAGTGGTCAACTTGATACTTTATCTATTAGTTTAATTACGAAGAGTCTGCGTCTTAGAAGAAGAATTTCTATACGGTCGGTCTCATAAATATTCGTTTTGAGAATGAACAGAAGAGAATTAAAAGAACAGAAAAAGAAAAACCGACTCGCACTATTTCATTTTCCAATTTCCAAAGAAGCATCCTTTTTTAGACGTTTACACTAAAATATATCCTCGATACGGTGCATTTCGCAGGTATCAAAATTAATTTGCCCGCTCGCTGTACGCGCGACGCGAGCGTGATCGCCATCATACCGAACACGCCAGCACGTCATCCGGAGACAAGTGACCGATGGCACGCAGGTTGACGGGCCGCTCGAAATTAAGCGATCGCCGTTAACGATAGTCCTGAATGAACAAACAGCGAGCGGATTAACCGCGTTTAAGCGGCGAATCGATATCACCCGTGGAAGTCTGTCGCTCTCAGAGTTTCAATGGCGGTTGTTCCCGTGTGCAAACACGCGTGTGCGTGTGCACGGGTCGCGTGGCGATTCTAACAGGTCCCGAAAATCCACTGGCGCCGGGACGTATTACACGGCCGAAACGTGTTATCCGGCTTAGTCCTGCAAACAGGACGAGGGCGCGCGTTGCAAACATAACCCGAATGCAATATGCATGCCGCGGGTGACGCGCATCCGCTGGCCAGACCGAAAGCTTCCGATATTCTTGACTGCATCACGGTCGAAGTCGTTCGACCCCAAAAACGTTTTTGACGATCGCGAAAATAAAGTTGGTTTCCTGGCGAATGAAGGATTCGCTTTTGGTCGAAAGAACGAGGCTGATAAACTTTTCAGGACTTGGTCACCTTATATAATAAATTGATTCGTTTCTGGTATATTTAGTAGAATGAGTGGAAGTTAGGGGTACTCTTTTTGTTCGACCAGTCTTGAGGTGATTTTCATGATTATTTCGCAGCCAAAGTACTTGTTTATTTGGTACATGTACCAAATTTTTTGAAATCTTGAACTGACCTGCTTTATGGTTCGAGTGGTATGGTGCTTATGGTTCGAGCAAATGGAAACTGATTTTGCTCTACTCGTTATGAATGTGTTTATAGCGTGAATTAGGAAAGAAGGAGTAAAAGAAAATCTTGAGTCTAGACAAATCTTAGCAACGATAATCTTCTTCAAAAAGAAATCTATTTTCTAACTTAAGAAAGACGAGTACCCCCTTAAGATGACTAGTGGTAAATCTAGACTAAAAGAATCCAAACCGAATGATGATTCGTTCGATCAGTGTCGAAAGTCTTATTTAAACAACTGACTCGTTACAACCTACAACACTCATCGTTTGTCTCGGAGCTCACCGCGACTAACATCTCTCACTGTTTCTCGATAAACACTGACCCACTAGAACCCTGAACTCTCCTTTGAAAGAACACATCCACCCTGACCCCATGGACCATGGAATACTCCAACTTGCGAATCCCATGAATCTTTAAAATCACATGAATATCAGGAATTCCTTGAATATTAAGAATACCAAGGATCCCAAAATTCTCAGGAATCCCAAGAGTTTTAAGAATCATAAGAATCTCACGAATGCTAAGAGTTCAACGAATTTCAGAAATCCCACAAGTATCGCAAGAGCTGTGACAGTCTTCACAAGTTTAGGATTCCAAAGATCCCAGAAATCTACATAATCTCAAGAAATTCCAGATATTCCAAAAATCTCAAAAATCCCAATAGTCCTAATAATCTGTATGTTACAACACAATCCTAACATACTCAAGGCACCCACAAATTCCAAGAGTACTAAGAATTTGAATAGTTCCAAAAGCTCTAAAAATCGCAAGTATCCTACGAATCTCAAGTGCCACGATCCTCCCAAAAATTCCAAGGATCCAGCCGACGGTCAGACTCATCAGCACCCGCCGATGAAATCAGACCCAACCGGCTAATAACCAATTACCAGCATGAACGTGTTAACTGTGAACCGTTCGTTCCCGTCGATGTCTCCCCAAAGAATTAAATCGTGACCTGCATGCCGCCTGCTTCTGCATCGTAGACTGGAGTCAGTCGGGCGAGTCGATCGATCGTTAATCGAAGGGATCTCTGCTCTATTCACAGGATCTTACGTACGCGGAGGGCGGCCACAACTGGCGGAGCATAATCTTCTCGCTGCTGGTCATCGGCTTCGTTATCGCCGGGATCGTCACGGCCATTTACCTTCTCGGGTGAGTGTTCTCCAACCGCTACCCTCGTCCTTTTTCTCAGCGGTGTTATCGACGGGCGATCTTTCAACGACTTCCACCAGGATACTTTTTCTGGTTCTGGAAATGGGAGGCGGGAAGGGAGCCGAAAGGATGCAGCCACGGAGTCTGGGGTTGTCCCATCCGGTGTAGACCGCTTTCGCGAAATTAATCCGTTCCCTTATCGACGAAATCTCCTGATCCTTTTTATCGTGGACCCGTGACCCCACCGCGGAAGCATAACGCGAAACGTTATCGTCTCGCCCCTTCTCCGATTCTGGAATGGATGTCTGGAGGTGATCCGCTGGAATTGCACGATGGTCGGTCCATCTAAATCGAAACACTTCTTATGTTCTACCTTAAGGCGAATGGGTTGAGAAAATGATGCTTCGCGAAAGACATTCTTTTCTTCGGGGTAGTTAACTTCCTTGTACGTGAGATTGTGAAATATACGGCCACCGGATTAAATCTTTTTTTAATTAAATTTCAGTACAAATATTTTAAAAGATATTACAAACTTAACTCTTATCGCTCCAAGTATATATCAGTTGGAGAAGAACACTGGGATAATTAATCTTGGATGACTGTCTGTTAGAGTGATAAGAGTTCATTGATATTTCACATCCGAAATCATGTACTTTTGATTTCACCATATGTAATGTTCAATTGTTCAATTCATTTCGCAATTGTTTCAAAATAATTATAAAATAAATAAATATGTTACTTGAAATAGTATTATTTGAAATGATATTCGAAACAATATCCTAATGTTTCAATTATTTCATATTTGACGTAATATAATTTCGTAAGTGACCAGGTTTGGTATGTGTACATACATATGTCATGTGTCAGTCACTAATCATTTCTATATTAATTTCCTGACTGTAAGGGATTGTTACTTCCCTTAACACCCTGTGTTAGGTTTCACCTTGTCAAGCATCTTGATATCTACATGTTTGTCGAGAAACTTTGAATCGATTGAACATGAACTTTTAGGTACGTCGACGAGCTGCTGTACTGGAGCGGCAGACGTCTCACGTTAGACGAGTGCCTTCGTGATGACCTAACACCGCACAGGCTACCACCCACCTGGATCTCCCACGACAAGTTTGTCTATCAAGCCGACGACGGTTCTCTCACTCTTCTGGACACCAGCAACAATTCCGTGTCCCTTCTGGTCTCTAACCACACGCTCGTACGTACCAGCCGTTTCTAAAAGATTTATCTTTCGTTTCTTGTGTAAACAAATATTGTGTTACGGAATCAGGTTCACTCCCAAACCTTCGTCAGATCTCTACTGTGGAGGTTTATAATCCGAGCAAGTTCGAATGCACCTGTACACTGTGTTTGAGACAAAGGAGCGTACATTTTTTGGAACACTGTAACTAAAAAGCGAATTATGTCTTGTTCCAACCACGTCTGTTGAAATTAGTGATATGTTTGTCAAGCAAAGAACAATAATATCCAGTAATCCAAAAATTACCCAACCAAAGTTAAAGATACCCCTGACCAAGCAGGAAAAACGAAAGGATTGCGTTGTACCAAGGAAAATGATACTTCAAAATTGTCACAAAAGCCTATTCAACAATCGAATGAAGGTATATAACTTTTCTTGTTTTCAAAGTGGCCTCTGGAAATCAGTGAAAATTGGTTCGACGATTCGATGAAAGCTGCGAGAAGCGACCGTTGGAATTGCATGTAGAGAGGCGTGAAAATGAATTCGGAGAACCGATAAAAAATATAGTGGAAGATTGGTTTAAAAGCTTACCAACCACGATACTGGCTGAAACGTCGTTTTGCGTGGGGCGTTCGAGTTACAATATTTTTTTTGATCGTTGCAAATACGCTACCAGAAAACTCAGCACCGTATTTAAACGCGTATATCTCCACCGCTCTGGGAGCAATGATAATTTTCAGCGTTTTTGGGAGGTGAATAGGGCAATATAATAAAAGATTTTGTCGAGATCTCGACGAGATCTTAAAATAATCTTGATCTCGGCGAAATCTCGACATGATAAATCTCGATATCGATCTCGAGTGTTACAAATAATCTCGATCTCGATCTCGAAATCGAGACGAGATCGAGACGAGATCGAGATTTATCTTGCCTCGTGCGCATCACTAGAGGTGAGACGATTGTCCCGCGTCAATCTGCATAGCAGCTTTAGTCGCTTCCATTTTAATCCCTGTATACATCTTTATGAACTCAGCGGTTTGTATGGGATAACGCCAGAGCGATGGAAATTCAAACGAACGCAAAATGTCAAACAGAATATTAATGCCGAAAATGCTGTTACTTCTGAAAGAGTGCTCCAAAACTCAATACACCTTTACAACGGACTTTAATAACAATGTATACGATAGTACGAATGTCCATCGAAATCGTTTCCTTTGAAGGAAATATTCGGTTGTATGGAATCGAAAGTTCAAACGGTAAAAGACAAAGTCAAAACGCGAAATTTTACTCGGATGTAGAAATCGTAGCACGAATTTCCATCGAATCCCCGAGGACTTCCAATAATTACAATCGTTAATACTCTTCGAATGGCAAATTTTAAAGGAAGGAACAATGCAATTGGCGAAGGATATTTCCACCAGTTTAAAGATAATACCGTCACCCTAAAGTCGTTTAAACGCTAATGGGTTTCCTTAGGGGTCGGAATGCAACCTCGACTATAAAATTACAGCGATCGACCGCGAATTTCTCGTTTATAGTAGAATGAAAATGACGTTGGACTTCGGTAGTTCGTAACTTGGTGTTGACTATCAAATTAATTATAGTATTAGACGCTATTATTACATAATAAAATAACTGTGAACTTAGCTTATTCTTCTGTTCGAGAATAAACGATATCGGTCTCAGAAACTGAATAATTGTCGCGTTGTGACGCGGGTCGTATAGATTGTGTCGATTTGTTAACATCATTAACAAGCTGTCCAATAGACTAATTGCAATATGCATCATAATACGCGACGTAACGCAACCAGCCGCGAGCTAATTGGCCGAGAAATACGTTTGGAAATTGCGTAACGATCTGCGATCTGCTCGTAAGTTGCATGACGTGACGGATAAGCCAGCAACCGCTGCGACGCGAGATCGATTAATCGATTCGTGCGTAATCGATTGAAACGCACTTGATTGCTTCGAGAAATTGTTTTGGTCCTCGACTCGGTTTAGGGAAACTCTGTTCATGAAAATTTTTGTTGGTAAAAACTCGTGCCTAGTATTACAATTTAATTAGATTGCAATTAATTCGTTGCAGTGATCGCGACGTATATGTATCTCGAGACAAATATTATAGAATATATGTTTCGAGAAAGCATAGTTTGTTTAATGTAAATGTTTCATTTAAGCTTTTTCCTGACATAAAAAAATCTCACTGTACACGATGTACTTTCAAGTATTTTATTTGAGAGACGTTTTGTCTATTTGGATTATAAAATTATAAATATTATAAAAAAGTCCTTTCAAATTTATCCACATTTTACATTCGTTCGTTTTATTTTTGTTAATAAAAGCTTTACTGTCATCCATTGTAGCTTCGCGAAATTATTACCGGTAATTTCATGAATAAAGTCATTTTTTTTAAACTTTTAGTTAATATTCTAGAATCCGTTAATTTGATTTGGATAAATATTTACATAAACTCTCAAACTAGAAATACATCGATGAATAACATAGCGAGTATTAAAATACACAAACACCCGAATTAACTCGAAACGTATGCAAATATTTGAGTAAAACCAGAAAATATTTCCAGCATGAGAAGGTTAATGGGAAAAATCGATCGACATCATCTCTGAAAGGTTAGCGGTTGACACAGTTGACCCTAATCTATACCAGCGCAAACGCAATTGAAGCTTGAGAATTTGACCTTGAACGGGCAAATAATTTCACGCTGACCTCAGTTAGCCGCAGGGTAAATGAGGAAAATGGGTAACTCGATCGAATGTGTCGAATTATCGAGGGACGAATCTGCCTTCAGCGGTTCGCGCGATGCAAATGAAAAATCCTACTCGTGGAAAAAGCGAGGGGATAGACGAAGGACCGGGGGAAACAATAAACAGTCTTAACGTCGGTATCAAACGGCCGTCTCCCCGAGCCTTATCTATCAAGGAGGCGAGTTTAGCCCGCGGCGCGCCATAAAACAAAGAGACCAGGCCATATATAAGGCAAAGTTCGAGGTATTCCTCGGTTTATTCAAGAGAAAGGGGGTCATTCCTCTACCTCCGCTTCGGTGGTATTGCATTTTCCGCTCGATGGAACGATCTGTGCCCCGAAGCAACCCAAAAACGATAGACCCTAAGAAACAGAGAACAGCGCAATCCCTGCTCGTGGTTTCATCCAGAGAATTTCACGATGGCTTAATAAACGCAGAATAATTACGAAGTTGTAAATCATCCGACCTTGTACTTCAACTATATCTACAATGTATATAATGTATAGTAGTTAATTAACGATACAAAGTAGCTACGTAGTGTGCAAGGTGACTCATACAGCTCTAGTATTCGACAAAAGCCTTCTGTAACTCCGTAAATTTCATGAATTCTGAAAAGTCCTTTCGCGGGACACTTTTATATAATCTGAATATTTTAACCATGCAATCTAAAAGAAATCGAATTTTTAATTTCCACAGAAACGCAATTAAAATATTACCAAGAGGACGACGACAAGCATTCGATAACAAAAGAAAATGTATCACCAAGTAAAAGAATATATTAAGTTTTATTCGGCTAGATTGACAATTTCACAGAAGAAAACTCGCCGATTTATGGACCGACGTAATACTATTCGGAGCACAACGTTGACAGTGTTCGCTCGTTAAAGAACTGTTGGGGGAACCGTTGCAACGCGGGGAAACGAAGACAAATGGAGTGATGCGAATAGAAAAATCGAAGTGTATCCGACCAAAGTGGACCGGGTCCAAAATACCCGATTCCTTTTTCCTCCTGGACCGCCAGACAGGCCACAGACGAACGAACACACCGCATTGATCCGATCAGGCGTCCACCAGGACACGCCGCGCCGCGGCCCGCCTCTCTGTCCTTTCAGAAACAAATATCGACTGGTGCCGGCTCTGTTCCCTGCGCCATTCCCCTGGTCGCGCTAATATCGAGCTCAAAAGTGGCCAATCGAAAATTTCACTCCGTTTTCGACCAGCGTAATTAAAATCGCCGCGATGTTAATTGTTTCCTCCACTTGTAACTCGAACGAAACGAGGAGATTCAAACAGAATGAATTTTTAATTAACACGTTGGCTGCCAAGTTAAAACTTGTGAAAATTGTTACGAAGTTAAAATTATGTTTCGAAACTATTGAAGATTAGATAAGTAAACATTCGTTGTAGTGTAGAATTTTTTAACGTCCCCAAATTTTCGAATCCTGTACAGATTCATTTTCATTATTGCCTCACCTTTGGAATTAATTTTTTTAGTTCCTTAACAAAAAGTCCTGTCACCCATTTCTGGGTGATGTGGCAATCAACGTGTTGATCATCGTCAAATGTGAATCAAAGAATTCTATTGGGGCGGGGGAGGAAGGGGGGGGGGGGGTCAAAAAGTTAATCGAAATGTCTTCGACTTGGTAAAAGAAGCGCTAAAGAGAATTTATGATCACTGCAAAATGAGTAGAACTCGGAACAGGTCTAGGGAAAGCTCCCCGAGCCACCATGCCATAATTCACACATCCGCGATAATTTGTATACCTTGTCAGAGTTTGAACGCAAGTTCAGTATAACTGTGTCTCCTGTAATGCACCTAGCGATCCATCACGATCGACGCAAGCGTAGGGTTTCTGTTTCATGAAACTCAAGCTGAAAGACGTCACTGTGACGACCATCAGGCTTCTAATCACCCTCGGTGGTATCAATGTTGACGTCCGTGATGAACTCGATGCATGCAATAATCACTGTTAGAGCTGTTTCAGTTAGCGAGCAGTGACGGATCTAGAAAAGCTCCGAGGAGAGGGCTATCAGTAAATAGATCAACAAATAGATTAAATGGAAAAAAACAATTCAGCAAATGTATAGAATTAATTATTTAAATTCGAGTGTCGCTGTCGGATTACAATAAATTCACCGTGAATAACTGATAGGATGCTGCTAATTTAAATGACATTATCAGAGAACGCGTATACTTGTAGTGCCTACTAAGCGAATACGGAGATGACGCAGCGTGTGTACAATGATGGAAGATAATTTCAATCCAAGCCCGGTAGTTCAGCAATGGCCCACCATCGAAATTCGGTCCAATTTAATGCATGCGCATACGTGCGCTGATAATCATCAACCGTTCGTGCGTGTAGTTTAATAACGTTATACATAATGGCTTCGAACGTCGAGGAATAATTAAAGGCTGTCAATTGAAGAATCGTTTGTATCCATGAGGAATCGCCACAAAAATACTTTCTTGTACAATGAATTCTAGGACCTCTGCTATGCTTTTTCATTCTCAGTATTTTCTCAGTGGATTGTTTATAGTCGCAATTAAAATCATGTTTGCTTTCAATGGGATTTAAATCCGGGAATTGGGATGAGCTATTCAAAGATCTATGTTTTACTTTCGACACTTTTGAAACCTAAGAACCCGAGAAAAAATCAGAACATATCTGAAAGATGAAAACGTCCGTTTTGAAGGTGTTGGAGCTTCTAATTTGCTCGGATTTATCCTCCACCACGGAGAAAGTGAGAAAATACAGAACACACACAACCGTAAATCTTTCCTGACTTTGTTTTCAGAGACAGCTGAACGTTCAAGGCTACCAGTGCAGCTCCGACCTACGTTACGTGTTGTTCAAGCACAATGTCAAGCCGGTGAGTTATGCGAGGGCGGAAATATTTTTGGCGGTCTTCGGTGCGTCATTAGAGTACTTATCGCTGATTGGTTCGAAGGAGAAACGAACACGTTGCGAAGAAATTACGTCGAATTTACAAATCTTGCACTATCTCTGATTTCTGAACTTAATAGCTTGCTCTACATAATTCTACAGCTACTCTAATAGGAAAACCTTGAAATAATCTTGGGCCTGAACATTTGATCATTTGCGTTGGTATAATCTTAAAATAACTTTGAAACTGATTATTCGTGCAATAAACCGGAATAGAGGGATAAAATGACCAATAAATCTTAAACAACGCACGATGAACTTTAAATCAAACTATTCGATTCTTCCAGGTGTTCAGACACACCTTCACCGCTTACTATACAGTCTACGACGTCACGAACGAGTGAGTACGCCCCTATACATTGTAAAAAGCTACTTTAACTCTTTGAGGCGCATGATTATAAAAGAAAAAGAAAATACAAGTTGCACAGGAGAACAATGTCAGCAACTTGCTAACGCTTATTTACGATACTTTTAGCGATACTTCATAGTATTGCTATATGAATGAAAAACTTTAAATGGAATAGTAAAGCTAAGCAAAAAGTGGGATAGTTTTTAATCCATCTAATTTCAAAGAGTTAAATTGATAAGAGTAGAACCCAGTACTAATAGTTGGAAGCTGCAATGGGACAATACTCTGCTAAAGTAGTTTCGGTTTCATAGCATCTGTCATTAGTCTTTGACCGTTGCTTTCAGTCATCACACACCTCTTCGCCTGCACGCGTCGCGAAGGATGCAGCAAACGCGACTGCAACACGCCGCCTGGTTAGGCAACACATCGGGCCTGTTGATGATATCCGAGAACGATATTTACGTGAGACTGGCGCCATCCGCGGCAGAGGACGCACGACTGACCGACACAGGTGTTCCTGGTGTGATTTACAACGGTGTTCCGGATTGGTTATACCAGGAGGAAGTGATGCCTCGGCCAGAAGCAACCTGGCCCAGCCCGGACGGCACGCATCTTCTCTACGCTACCTTTAACGACACTAAGGTCACTGCCTTGGAGTTCCCCTGGTTTGGTACGCAGCCAGGTCACGATGGAGCCAGCTCAAGTCCTCTAACCACACCCAGAAGAGGCTCCTTTCCGCCGTCGAAGTCTGTCAGATATCCTACGCCCGGGTCGTCCAACCCAGAGGTCGATCTGCTGGTGATGGAGCTTAGCAATGTGACGAGTACGAACGGCAACGGAACCATGAACTCCACGTTGGCTTTTCGAACAAAGCTTAGGCCGCCGCCTGTATTGGATGGACAGTAAGTGCTTTTGGAGCCAAGTTTTATAATTTTACGAAATACTAGTGCCACACCACCAGACAGTTCATGGTTCCTAAGTTCCTAAGTTCTAGACTCAGGGTACCTAATTTTAAAAATCCCTTAGTTGTGAAACTTAACTCTATAGTTCACAATTTTTCAAATCGGGGCAAATACAAATAACACTCTACCGCAAAAATTCTGATGATAACTGTTCGATTTAGTGTAAAAATAATTATCTTCAATGGTGATGTGACCTTTTTATAACGTAGATGTCTTAATTCTGCTAGGAACAGAGCATAAGTAATTCTTTATGTTGCATCTTCCAATATGTATGTCTTTATTGATGCATATGTGCATCGATGCGCACTGTACGGTTAATCCGAGCAGTACTCAGCTAACTCGCTTAGCCCAAGTTCAATTTAGTAGAATCCAATATCAATGATTTTTCCATATTTAATGTCTCTGAGCTCGTAGGACTGTGTGCTGATAGCTGTCCTTGCTACGTCACTCGTAACTGTATGGAGTTAACTGCATTAGTTTGCTTGTCAATTCCAGAGAGTACTATTTAATATCCGCCGGTTGGGTGGGCGAAGACTCCACTCAAATCGCCGTCGTGTGGATGTCGAGGTCGCAGAACCTGTCGCTGGTATCCGCTTGTCGTGCGCCCACGTGGGAATGCGAGGAGACTCACTCGGAAAGGGCGCCCGAAGGGCAGTGGCTCGACGCTCAGCCTCATCCTGTTTTTGCTCCTGACGGCGACAGCTTCTTACTGTTGGCATCCGTTCAGGAAGGCGACAAGGAACACTTCACCCACATCAAACACGTGACCCTGACTCAGCAAAGGATAGCGGTGCTGTCTCATGGCCGTTACGAGGTGAGCAAATCATCGAAGCTAGGTAGATGAAATTACCCAGTTATCTCATAACGTACATAAGATATGAAACACCATATCGTTATATTTGTAAACATATCAATGATTTATATCGTTCATACGCATATACTGTACGTTCGCTATAATGGACATTAATAGGGTTTGCGAATATATGACACGCAAAGCAAATTATACTTCAGAATCTGTTTCATAATTCATTCATTTCAATTCTATAATTAATTCCTTCTACCAAATTCTTTTGTATTTAATATTTTTTTCTATCTCTGTTAGTTTTTTCGATATTCAATTAAATAGGTATTTCGTTCATATCTCTAGGGTAGTTTTCACCCCCTGAACATGAATATCAGCCGATACAAATACTTGCGGGTCGAATATTTTTCAATGTTTGTCTTGTGTACCAAGTTTCATTCAAATTAACGTGTGACAGTTGGGTAATGTTTAGTGTTGTTTAATGTTGGCTAATTATTTCTGAATAATCACTACCTCGATAATTTTCCATTACCCGAATCCACAGTTCTACTAACCACGATCCTTTACGATTAACTTGTGCGATGTTCCCGTCCTTGTCATCAGGTGAGCGAGATCCTAGCGTGGGACACGAAGGGTCACCAGGTGTACTATTTGGGCACCAGAGAGAGGAGGCCCGGTCAGAAACACCTTTACGTTGTGCGTGATCCTACTGCCGACGATCCTCGACGTTTAGAGCCGCTCTGCGTCACGTGCGATCTTGGGGAAGTCCTTTGGAGCAGTAGGTAAGTGCATCGCGTACCTTTTTAATAATCATTTAGATGCTGATGGCTCTGTACACCCTGTGACAGATTTTATTACACCAACTGTACGCATTTCGGCGCATCCGTCAGTCCAGCGGTGAACGACGCGACGCAGGGTTACTACGTCCTCTATTGCGAAGGTCCAGGTCTCCCCCTGGCAGGCATACACTCGACGACTTCCCACAAGATGATCCGCATGCTCTACGACACGAGAATCCAACGGGGGGACAAGCTTTCTCAACTAGCGCTGCCGACACGAAGAAGTTTCGAGGTATTTACTTCCCCAAAACGTTTCAAGGACTATTACTGTTCAATCCTAACTTCGTACTATCTTAGGTGCCACTGCCTCAAGGCTGGAAAGCTCAAGTGCAACTGTTGCTGCCGCCCTCGTGGCGTGAAGAGCTCAGAGACGCAGCCTTTCCGGTTCTGGTCGAGGTGAACGGTCGTCCAGGGAGCGAGGCGGTCACAGATCGATTCAAGATCGACTGGGGTACCTACATGTCGAGCCACAACGACGTGGTGTACGTCAGGCTGGACGTACGAGGTGCCAGGGGTCAAGGGAAGAGGGACCTGTTCAGGAGAATCGGTGGCGTCGAGGTGCAGGATCAGCTGACCGTGCTGAAACATCTTCTGAAGACCCTGAAGTACCTTGATGTCACGAGAGTCGGAGTGTGGGGTTGGGGATACGGTGGCTACGTAACCGCCATGGTGTTAGGAAACCAGGAGAACCTGTTCAAGTGCGGCGTCGCCGTGAACCCCATCGCGGATTGGCTGTATTACAGTGAGTCCACGAATGTCAGATTCGAAAGATTGTTCCTTTTTGATGTTGGTATACGCCAAGTGAAAGGAAATCTTACTCGTGTTTGCGAATTTTCTAAAGTGTACACGTATGCAAATTACCCACAACGACATCAACTGTTGCAAATACAAATTTCCTTTCATCTGAAAATTTTTAATTTAATTGCACATATTTTGAACATTGTCAAATATATATACAAAAGAATAAAAACAGAAGTCTAGAGTCTCTAGATCTGGAATCGTAAGTCCACGTTTTCTGATGCAGATTCCGCGTTCACGGAGCGAGTCCTTGGCGCTCCAGCCGAAAATTACAAGGGTTACGTGGAGGCTGACCTGACTCAACGAGCCAGGCTGGTACCGAGTCACAGCCTCTACCTTCTTCATGGTCTAGCTGACCTTACAGCGCCTTACACGCACGGCGTCGCCTTCGCCAAGGCACTGTCCGAAGCGGGAATCATCTTTAGGTACCAGGTAAGGAGTTTGGCAAAGTATGCTTTGGAACTATGAACTTTATGAACTACTTACTTATAAACTCAAACTTGAAGTTTAATAAACTTCAAGTTTGAAATATCATTTTTAGAGCACCTAGAAAATCGTCTATTACCTGCAACCCCCTCTAATATCTATTGCTTCTCTACAACTGCTACATCTACGTCATTTTCCTAATCTCTGTTCTTGTATTCCCATCAGTTACGGTACAATGATGCCCGTTCAACCTCTAGATTGAACCATCGCCTTTGGACACTTAGAAATCCATTGCTTCTCTCTCTATCTGTTACCTTTACATGTGTCCCTAATCTCTTAGCTCTTGAGTACAATCTAGTCCACCGAACCTCAAGTTTGAACTATCACCTTTGGGCACATCTATCATCCCTTTGACACCTCACTAATGCCTATTACTTCTCTACTGGCTACTACTACGTCTCGATTACTTCCTTCATCTCTGTTACCTTCACCCGTTTTCTCTACCCTCGTACAAAGACAATCGAACGTTTCAACAGAGTTACGCGGACGAAGACCACGCCTTAGCAGGCGTGTTGGAGCACGCTTATCGTTCCATGGAGGACTACCTCGCCGAGTGCCTCTCCCTGGACGCGTCCTAGTGCCTCAAGCCGAATACTCTCTCGTTGTCTCTAGCTCGCCTACTTCTGATACATCCCGGATGGGCGTGGATGCTCGCCGAGAAGGCTCACTGTTCAGGATTAGACTAGTTCGAGAAGATTCTCAAAAGCATCCCCAGGTGATCGCCAGCGTGACGGAACGCCGCCGTCGTTTCGAGGCAGAGGAGAGGAAGGCTTGAGAGGGATTGGAAGGTCGCGTGGAATAGGGTAAACGAAACGATGCCTGGTCCTTCTTGGTGGCGAGGATGCTTCGATCCGTAAAAGTAGGGTGTGGAAGAGAAGTACGTGAAAGGGAAGCGGTGATGAGAGGGATGAGGTAAACTTAGCGTTTGTATAAGTAATATCGTTGATAACGTTGTATATCAGCCTGCGGATTCCTCTTTGCTACGAAGAAAAACTCGTTCACTTTGCTCTCTGGACGCGCACCCCGGGAGATATTGTAGCGATCCAACCCCCCTAACATCCAGAGGCGTATCTAGTTAGAACTGCGACGCAGTTAGCGGGCCAGTTAGTCGACAAGCTCGATCGACACGAAGGGCGACTTAGGTGAAATTTCGATTCGCGTTAGCCTGCTTCTCGCGTGGTTGCAAGCTCGCCACATTTTGTATACCAAAAATCTCCATTATCTGACGGTGACACGACACTCGAATGAACATTAAGACGCGAAGACCGATGATGATCGAGCGCATCGAGCTTAGCGCGAGCTTGCAAGCTCGCGACTCAAGATTTTTTATATCAAGCCTCCGGGTTCCCAGCGCTCGAGAAACTGAAGTCCGCGCCGGGGGGGGGGGGGGGGGCGTTTCGCTTGAAAGTATCGAGCTTACCGAAAGCTTGCAAGCTCTCCTCGCTGTTTTCATGATCAGCAACGGTTCCAAGGGCCCCAGAAAGCTACGAGGAACCGTGGATTGCCGTTGCAGAGCTTGGAAGCGCGCGTCTTACGATTTCCCCCTACGGCGGCGTCAACGAAAGAGTCAACGGGCGAGATGAGGCTACCGCCCTCACCTTCTATCTTGTCTAGATTTAATTTTTAGCAATATTTTCAAATTTTCCTATTAAATTTTAACAATATTCATTGTTGTCATTAGCATTTCTTATTTTTTATATCTCATCCACTTTTTTAATTTGTAGTGTAAACGTTACTGCGTTATTATTGTTCTTACTTTGTTGTCGTTATTGTTGTTGTGCTCTGGTGTTTGTTACGATCTATTGTTACTTACATTCATAAGTTTATCCTCATTAAAGTGCAAAGCGATACACCAACAGCGTAAAAGCTTTATTCTTACTCTTTCGTTTAATTGGATTCCCCAAAACATAGGTCCAGGAAATAGAGAGTTTAAAGTGGAACAACCGCGGAGGGTTTTATTCAGTTTATTATTACAATCTACCCGAGTATTCGCTACCTAAAGTTCGTGTTCTCCAAATTTGAACAAAACTACATCCATCGAATGTTACCTCTCGAACTGTCAACCAAGAGATGAAGGAATCGGTGATCGTTGAACGATTTCGAGAGGCTCTTTGTCGAGTCGATTCTTTCGTTGACCCCATTTATGGCTACACTACCGGTGCCTCCCTGATTTCGGGGAAAAAGCTGGCTATGCCTATGCGATGAATCGTCCAGGGGTATCGACACACCACTCACCATTAGAAAACGAACGCTTAGTCCTAAGTTTTGTGTTGTACAGCTTGGCGCCTAGTCTATGTACCATAACGTTACACGCGTGAACGGAAAGGAGAAACAATTTTCCCCCACCCGTCCCAATCCCAGAACCACCGTTTGAACCTTGAATATTTGTATATATCTATACACGTCTCGTGGAAGATGTCCCTCGGTGTAGGCCGCGTTCCCTCGACGAGGTTCGCGGGTGTTCCCGTTTGTCGTTGATCGTTTGTTGTACTATATCGCTAAGGTGTACTATAAAATCAGTTTCCAGAATAAACTACTTATGTAAGTAAGCGACGCGAGGCTTTAGGGTAACGTTCCGATTCACCGTATACTTTAGCTCGTTCCAGAACGCACCTCGTCGCGGGCAACGAACCTTATCGTATACCTTTTCTCGATCAACACCAGACCGCTGTCACGGTCCTGACGGAGTACGCAACACTGACAAGGGGACATCTCCAATTGGTCCACTGGAATCTAAATAAACTTTTGTACGAAAACGGAGCTTGAAATTCTGAAGATAGTTACGTTAGTTTTGTGTGCTTGCGGTTAATAGTTTGGAAGATATTTAAGGGTAACGTTTGATAAGGTTAACCATCCTGTAACAATTACTTGTAAAAATGATAAAGTAGTGTTGTTGATAGAGTGGCACGTTCCTGATACGCGTATTCGAGCGATGAAATAGAGAAGGTAGCCAGTCGGTAGAGAAGAGTATTCCGTCGACAAAGTAGTGTATACTGTCGGTAAGGTTCGATAGCGTACAACTTTAATTGATCGATGGAATTACCGACAGAGTATTCTACATTGCCAACACCACGACCTGTTTTATAGACCGAGTGTTCTACATTACCGAAGAGATATAGTTTTAACGGGAATAGATGTATAAGTACCGAAATACCTTCGAAAACTTTGAGTTTAAATATCATCTAAAATACTAATCAAAGGCACTCAAAACTATATATCATTATCTTCAGGATTCCAAGCTTTATCACTATGCAGAAGCTCGCTTAAATATTAGCGTACCCGTTGGGAAAGCCCTCTTGTAAGCCGAAGATTAGGCGGATCGATGTTCGTTCCGGTACGGTTGATGTTGGATGTTATCGTTCGAGATCGATTGAACTCGCGAGATCCGTTTCGAGAATAATGATCAACTTTCTTGTTAATGACAGTGATTAGTCTCCAAAGATTCGTTCAGAGTTTTAGGGTTCCTATAAAAAGCTGCCAAGGCAGTAGCTCAGCTCAAATACAATGAAGAGCATAACTGAACTAGTAACAATAAGTTTCATGTAAACTATTCGTACACAGTGGATGTGTTACAATTTTTTATTAGGTATTTGATAGAATTTGTTTAAGTTTGAAGGTTCTCGGGTAAGTGCCAGGTGGTTTCTCTTAATTCCCTTATCGATAGACCTGTCAAATTCTATTTGATTATCTCGCTAGTTCGATGGATGTGGATGCAAAACGAAACGAAATGTTCACGGTTGATCGTAGAAGGGTCGCGCTCGAACGAGGAGAGTCGCACGTCGCCATAAACGCTGCCTGCCCAGCAGCCCTTAAATGCCGACAATCAAGGCTAGTGCAACTAATCAAACGATAATAAATAGAACGGAGAGGATGAAGAAATTACCTAATAATATTAATGTATCTTAGATGAGTGATGGATGCGATTCGTCCACGTCAAACTGTGTCGTTGGCGCCTCGACGGGGAAAGAGGAGAATATTAGTATATAAGACGGAAGTGGAGAGGGAGAATGAACCTCACAGGTGGGAATTCCCGTCGAGGTCATCGTATATAGACGAAAGTAGACACGAGGGATCGGTAGATCGGGATTACGTGCTTGGTGTCGATTGGAGAAAGTACAAAGATGCAACGTGTGACGAAGGAATTAGCTCTTTGATATTACTTTAGATGCTCGAGTTAAAAAAATTGCGGAAACTTTGTCCCTTTCGTGGAGAATTCTGTAAGATTTAATTTCTTTACTTAATCTTTAATAGACTCGGAGGTGGAATTATTGAATGCAAATTATGAAATTAATTCAAGATGTGTGTTATACATAGTAAGAGGATTACAAACTATTTCGTTTGCTCTAAAATTCGAAGGCTCGCCAATCATTTTTACTACTTGTCTACTTGCTTGCGTTGATGGAGGACGTTCTACAAGAAAGGTACCAACAAAATTCAAATTTAAAAATTCCCAAAATACCATCCCAAAGAAAGCAACCAAAACGATAGAATCGCACGAACTTTGATAGATTTCGATTCTATACAAAAATTCAAACATCGACGAAAATCTAACCGATCATAAATTGAATTTCATTTTTGCATTTGTAAGAAACGAGAAAAGACGAATGCAATTCCTTCGCCACGTGGAATGGACAGAAACGTCGTTGTTTCCTCGTGAAAGTTCGCTTCGCGATATCGTCGATCGATTTTCCCGCGCGAATTCGAGAGAACTCGAGACTTCACCGAGCGGGAAACGAAAACAATGTGAGAATGAAATACAGCGAGCGCGCGTGAGAGAGAGAGAGAGAGAGAGAGAGAGAGAGAACATCACGAACGAATGAATGCGAGCGTGAGTGTGCAATCGCAATCAATTATTAACTATAATAACGGCAGAAAGTGCGGCGAAATAAACGTAGACATATAGGTATGGGTCTGAGAAACGGCAGGCAAGCAAGACAGAAGCAACAACCACGACAACAACCGGAAAAACGCAGCATGCGAAATAACGTGAAATTAATCGCAAAACAGATGAAACCTTGGTAGCAGCGCATAAGGGTATCTATAAGCTTTTGGTAACGTATTATCGCCGGTAGGCTAAAGAGAATTAATAAGACAAAAAAAAAACACAGAAAAAATATATATATATTATACATAAAACGAAAGAAAGCGGTACACGGAGGAGGAAGAGAGGGCGACACGACACGCAGGACATCCGAGATTAACACAGAGAAAAAGCAAAGAAAAATTAATTCACGCGGAACTCGAGAGTTCAAAAGCATCGGGCCCGTGCGAACGAAACTCGAACAAATTCGTGAGTACATTGTTTTTCCTTTTTTTTTTTGTACGAACAATGTCGACGACAATGGCACCATCCGAGAGGACGCAAGAATGCAACGTCCCTCATCTATGAAGAAATTTCAATAATTTTTTTGGATCATCAGTGAACATATACGAATTTAAGAATTGTTTGGAGAGTATTATCTAGACTTTCAGAATAGTATGTATATTTTGTAGTTCGTAAGATCCGAATAACATCATTTTATTTTACTCTGGCGCTTCGACTTCCACTTTAGCTTTTCGGAAATATTTGATATTTATCCAAATTAAAATAATATTTTCCTTTAGACAATTCAATTCAATTTTAAACGTCGTTTTACCTATGTTAATAGTATATGGTGACAGAGATGACAGTCTTTGTTTATAAGTACAGATACAGAAAAATGATGAATCCTTCTCTCTGGTTGCGCCATTGTTCGACGAGATTCGCTCGATATCCGAAGAAAGCGAATCGCCCGTCGACGTTCGACGATTTCGAGACGAAGGGAGATAGAAAATGTTAAGAGTACGATTCGTTAACGGGGGAAAAAATAGTAATAATAATAATAATGCGTCTATTTGAAATTATTTGGATAATCTGTGATACTCAGATTGACGATTATTATCGGTTATTTGTCGGATTTATCCCGGGAGGTTTGGTGTCCGCGGCACTTACGGTGTTTCGCGCGTTTTTAACCAGATGCATAGCGAATATCGAGGTATTAATAAATAAGGTATCGATAAAGAAATTGTTCGAGTAACGCACGCTCGAAATCGAGTCCAAGCTCGAGAATATACCGCGAATTCTGCAATTATCCTAAACTACTGCTCATATCTATTAGACTCAAAACGAAACTTCAGGTTTCCCCTATTTATTTGATCGATTTATTTACTTATTTATTTAATGATTTTATTCGCTATCGGAAAACGAACAAAAAATATATCAGTGAATCAAGATGTTGTATAACTTAACCCAATTGCTTTTGACAAGTCAATTCAGCTCCCGTAAAACTTATTTACTTCGTTCAATCAATTATTTTAATTATATATTTTTTTAATTCTCTAGTTATTCCATTTTTGTATTTTTTAATATCTGACTTTAAAGTTGATCAATTAACCCTTTCGCACGATAAAATTTGTAGTTCTCTACACAGTATACATGGCATACAAAGAAACGTACATGCAACTTTAGAGGTAAATTCAATATGCACGATAAAAAAAAGATTGCTTATACTCGAGTGCTTTCTACTTTCACAGAAAATAATATATTAACAGAATTTCGGGGTCAGAAACTTTAATTGTCATTCTAGCAGTTTGAAAGCCACTGCTATATAGCCCACAGACAATAAAGTTTCACTAGTAACAAGATTAATGATACAAACAGGTACACCGATTACTTGAATTCTATTTCACATCAACAATGAAAATTAACACGAAACACGCGGACTTTCTGTACATCTTTAACAGAAGGATTAACCACTGCAATTGAGAGAACAACTTCAAGGCTTGGACTCGGTTTCAGAAGCGGCCTACTCGTCTCGATGTCATCAGAATCCTCGAGGTGATCGGATCGTCCCGAGCCAGCTCGAAACCAGAGATGAGCAAAATTCCAACGAAACGATACATAACGAGTAACACCACTATGCAGAAATTTATTCGTCGCGCTTATTCCATTGAACCGTTATTCGGATAAGCCTATATTTACTCATACGCGATACGCAACTTCATTTTATAATTTTAATCGATGAAATAACGGATCAAAAATGTTTACGTTTTATTAGTTGCTCGGGATTCGTAGGAAGACAAGAATTATGCCCATCTCTGCTCGAAACGACGTCTGAACGATCAGAGACTCGGCAATCAGAGCAGTCGGGTGAAATTATTGCCCAGCGACTCGTCGCGTCGATTCGACTGTGCTCCGCGAGTGTGGCCGACGCGCTCGGACAATTGTTTTTTATATAATATTCGCATGGATCATCCAACGATCGCAGCGAATTATCGTACGGGAGAGGCGTTTCTCGATAGTTTCTCGTGGGAGGCAGCAGCACGCGGATCGTTTCCACTCGGTTTTTTACGATATTCGCACGGACCTGGAGAATCATCCACGAAATCGGCCACGATCATCGACGATCGCTCAAAAATTCATGAAACCGTCGATAATCAATTCATTCACGACGTTCTTTTTCTTTACTCCTGACTGTATGTAGACTCCTTGGCACGGTGTGTGAATATTACAAGGAGGGTTTATTTAATAAATTTCTCTACGTTTTGAATTTAATAAACACGCTGGAATGCATTCCAGGACTCAATGATATTTACATCTGCGAGAAAATATTAATAAGGTTGTTAAATATTGTGACTAACACGTTCAATCTATGTTCATTAAGTTGAATCTGTTTCAGAAAGTCCATTATACAATACGCTCGTTGATATTAAACAGGTTATTGGAAGATATAATTATAGAGAAAGGCTTATAGAAAGAATACACTTATCATTACTTTAGTGTCACATTGTACACACTCTTTAATTTCTCAAGCTAAGTTCAATTATTGAATAGCATACAAATCCATTTGTGCTGAATTTTACGTAACAATGTATATTCTTTCTTCGTTGCTTTATATGCCTTCTTCATCTTAATATCCAGTTACTCCTTCAACGAGAGAATATTTAAAAATAACGAGTAACTAAACGAAAGCTTCGATAACCCCGTTCACTGTCTAAACAAATACGTTTCGTTGGAAAAGAAAAATGTAATATTCATCGCGTTTCTAATTTCACCACGTTTTAACCCTTGTCTACATTCAAAGAAAATTTTACTTCTTGATTGTTGGTAAGAGCTACATTTTGAGAAAGCAGAGTAGACAGGAGGCAAGTTCGACTTCTTTCTCTTTGATCCTTTCTTTTCCTCGAGTGACTGCTAAAATGCTTCGAAGACGCCGATTTCGCGGATGTTGTTCAAGGTATATTCCACGTAACACCCACGAGATAATCATGTTACTAAGACTCTGCGTTTTTTAATATCAGCGAGGCTCGGCCCGGACAACGGGCGGACAAAAGTGTTTTCAATAAACTGTTACATTACCTGATGCATCTTTGTTTTCTTTCTACCATGTACCGAAGATCGGAAAATTTTTATCTGGATACAAATTTCAATCAACGAATAAAAATAACAAGCTGAAACTAAAATAGAAATAACGAAAATTGGAGAATGAAAAATTTCACAGCGTATTAGTGAAAATGTAGCTGTTGGATCGAACAAACGTCGCCAATAAATCGTTATACGTTGGCTTTGTTTATCTTCTATTATTCAAATAAAATTTTGCCCTTCTCTGTTGCAAAGATCTCATAGAAACCTAAATATGATACTACTGGATACACGTAGACGAACAATCGCGTCAAACTTCACTTTAAACCTTTGCTTGGCTTTATACGTATATATTTATACGGACACAATTTTGACTATGCAAACGTAAAAAGAAGATCGAAAAATGTTCAAAGAGAGGATATTTTGACAATATTTTTCGCAGGCTACATTTTGAATTTTCTCCTTGTTTTTTAATTAAAAATTATGAGCCTGCCACGAAGACGCAGAAGACGCAGAATACGCAGAAGACGCGTAAGAGGACTGTTGAATATCGAACAGGGTAAAAAACGGAAATCCGTTCCATCGTTTAAAGAGACTCGGTAAAAAGTAGTTTGCAACAATTCTGGGAAAACCTTTTGGACGAAGCTTTTAGTAAAAATTAATCGGTAGCTTTAATGAATAAAGGTTATGCGAACATTGCTACGCCACGAGGTCGAAGAGCACCAAAAACATCGGTTCTCAGACGATTAAATGCAATCCACTGATTCTGTCGAGAAGATCGTCGAAGAGTAGTGTCATTTATTTAGGATCTTATCGTAAAGTCCCCGAATTGATCGATTTGGAAGACAGCTGTGGCAGTCACGAGGCAAACATAGCCAGGCAAACAGACGTGTCCAGTTCAAAATCAGATAAGGTAAACTAGTTTATCATTATTTAACGCGTGAAGTAACCATATAAATCCTTTTATAAAAGAAAACACAAAAATAAAGAATTCGGTAAAATAATTCATCTCATAGTTGATTGATACTTTCATTTTTAGCGTTCATGGTAGTACAGAAGATAAGTTTCCATTGGTAATATTTGAAAGATTAAAGGACACGTAACATTTTTTTTCTTGACTTACACTCCAGGATTACTCTCTTAAAAACAAAAAGTTCTAAAGAACAGTTCAACACGATAAAGTTAAATGTAATCGTTTCCCTTGATCTTGCAAGGCAAATAGGTGGCGATTAAAAATTTTCTCGAGAACGAGGACACACTTTCTATCTCCGACTTACCCATCCGCATTATTTCCAGTTCCTTGAGAAAAGCATGGGTCATGTATGGTCGACCCTCGATGGCTGCCAATTTTGATAAATCGAATCCAGTGAGGGAAACGGTACTGGCTCCCAATGCTAGTAATTCGGACGGATGAATCCCAAGCCAACGTACTTTTGGACAGGCCAGGCTCTCCCTCTCTTTGGACAAAGTCGCTGAACCGAAACTGTGGTTAAAAGATCAATAGAAACATACTTTATTGTCTGGGTTCTTTTTCAATTTTTTTCCCCTTCTTTTGGAATAAATTTTTGAAACGACTTGTATTGCCTTGTCTAAGACTAACTTCTCATACATTTAGATACCTAATAAACGATACGAAGTATTTTTTATAAATATTTCTAGAGCTTTCAGCGTGTGACTCTTTTTTACTTTTTACTACTAATCAACAGATTTATTTAGATAATATAATTTTTTATTTTAATTGCTATGTGAAGTTAGAACTACCAACGTTTCAAATCGCTTTCCGAAAAGTTTGCAACCCGCTCCGTGAAGAACTAACAGATTGATTAATAATTAATAAAATAAAATGAAATAACTTTTCGCCAAGTATCTATAAGAAAGGAACAGATTTTTTGAAAACTTTGTCTATCAATTTAGTGCAATTCGATTTACCGATAAACACACATGATGTCCACACCGAAAGGATCCGCGTCCACGATTATGTAAACCGGAAGTTCCATTTTCTCGGACAACAGTTTCACCAGCATTCTGGTAGCCACATCCGGGTACCCTTTCCCGGTGACCAGAATGCAATTCAACAAGGTAGGGCAATCGTCCTCCAATAATTTTTGAAAGACAGCGTCTTTTTCAACGATCAGCACCATTTTTGCTCTAGTTCGAACAGAAACTACATTCGACGCCATGAATGGAATAAGTGCTCCTCCCGGCACCGTGCAATCGACGATTCGATTGTTAGTTAACGTCAACGTCAGCTCACCTGCTGCTAGTCCTTTCGATGTTGGTAGAAGATCTAAGTAATTAATTAAAACAACATCCGCGGAATTAAAATGTCAACTAATTGATATTCTCATAACAAGCCTTAACAAATATATTGATCATGGACAAGTCGAGCTACAAAAGTGGGACCTCTAAAACACTAGCTTTGTCTAATAACATTTCATATCGCTAATATTTTTGAAAATATTCGGTCGTGTATAATGAAATTATTTTATTAATTTTGTTTACAACTTGGTAATGTGGTAATTACTGCTGTAGCTAAACAGGATAACATTGTATTTGGGGTCTACCATCGCTGTAAACAATAAAAATAATTATTGATAAAAATATCTTTATTCAAAATAAGAAATGTTTGAAGAACATTATGATAAATATATACATTATGTTATAGGTACTTATTTGTATAATCGGCCACAAAAGTTGCATACTCTCGTTAACAGTGTATTTACAGGGTTTCTAAATGTATCATTTAGAAAATGATCGGAACCACAGAGGCGAGGGAAAAATTATTCGTGCAAAAATGTTCTACTTGGACTTTTTTGTTTTACGCTTTTCTTTTTTCTTATGTTTCTGTTTTTTGGGTTTTGAAGCCTGTTTCTTTTTTCGTTCTTTCCGTGACTTTTTCTTTTGTTTTATCACTTCGACTGAAGACGCGTCTGACTCGTCCGAACTTGAACTACTAGATGATGACGAGGATGAGGATGATACATTTGAACTCTCGGGGACAGACTCGTCGGTATTCGAAACGCTTCCGCTTTTTTCTTCTATGGTAGGTATTATAGTGGGTTTGGGGTGAGATTTTAAATGTTCTCTTAAATCGTCTGTAAGCCCGCCCAAACCAATGGACGTAAAAAAGTTTATAGCGAAACGAGTATTTTTTGGATCATCCCTGGGGAACAATCCTTCGAACGCTTCTTGTAGCGTAACGTCTTTAACGCGTAGATTAAGCTTCGATAATCCCATATACTCGGAAAGTTCTTGAAATAAGATTTTGATAAATATTCTATTCGAACTTGTTGTGTCTTCTTCGGTTAGTTTAATGCAAGATAATACTTCCCAAGATATAGAGTCAGTGAATAATAAATGAGCAAAAAATTTTGACACGTTACGCAACTTATTTGTGTCTAAACGGTGAATCGTATTATACGAATCGCGGAATATTTGTTCGAATGGGGTAACATACATTTTATTAATCGCACAAAACCTTCCAGCTAAAAGCCCGAAAAATTTCTCATACGTTCTCATTTCCGCGCAACAGTCTAAAAACATATGACAAAGTTCAGTTTCCTGGCCAGGTTTTAACTGCATTTTCATCAATTTATGTGCGCATTCTTCGAAATCAAGCGACGAGTGTATCGTTAAATATATCGTTCGTCTAAGAGCTGTTAAATTTGTTTCTGTATTATCTATGATTACATCTTCTTTCCCTTCTGCTACGGCAGTGCTACTGTCTTCATCCGAACTTTCCTCTTCGTCACCTTCTTCGGATTCTGAACCGCTAGCGTCCGAACCTAATATTTCTTTACTTAATTGTGTATATTTCTCTTCGTTAGTGATATATTCTGCATCAAACTTAAACACGTTCAGTATGTCTTGAGAATCAGTTGCTTCATCTAGTGTAACTAGATGGGTAAACTGATTTTCTTCCTCGACGAGATCAAGTTCTTCTGGAACAGCTTCATGATCTTTAAATCCATCTTTTCGTACTTGAAACATAACTTCTATCATATACTGAACTCTTTTATCTAATTGCCCTTCGTGTAATATGTTTCTTAACATTTCGAATATAGCTTCGATACCTTTCCTAGATACTTCGGTTAACTTCATACCACATTCTTTTAGAAATGCAATTGCTACTTCGATTGAATCATCTGTTGGTGTCTCTACCAATAACGTTAAGATTTCTAATGCTAAAATTTCATGTGCCACTCTTTGGTTTACTAAATGTGCTATAAAAGTTCCGGAGGATATGCAAAGAGGTTTGTCATTTCTTCTAAAACCGCGTTTGAACTGTATTACAAGACGTTTTAGTATTAATTCTCCGATATTAGGAAATTTTGAATTGATGATTGCGGTGAGAGCCGCGTAAACAGAAGTAAAGGTAGGCGAGGCTGCTTGAGCTTGAATTATAGATCGAGCAAGCAAACCTCTACCTCTAACAATATTTTCCTTTAGAAGCTCTCGAGTTATAAGTCCAATGTTACTAACATTAACTTTGTTAATATGACCATGTATAGATTTTTTGAGGGCTTCCCATGCAATACGCTGATACGCCGCTCCTGATTTATCTGTGATTTCTGCTTGCATCATACGTAACTTTGCAGGTGGAATATAAGCACCGCCAGTTCTCGAAGTTAATAACTCAACTGTTCGATTCTGTCTTTCAGTTGCTTCATCAGGAGCATTTTTACCTTGTTTTTTCTCCATTTCTTTATCAATAACTTTGTCTTTTTCTGGTTTCCTTCTGACATCTTTCTCACGATCTCTTGATTTTTTTACATCTTGTCGTCCATAATATCTTTCACCTGTATATTCTTCAGAATCATAGTTTCTCCTGTATTGATCGTTTCTTTTACTACTTCTATCATTATGATAATGTCTATCTCGTGAATTGTGTCTATGACGATCTCTGTCATAATCGCTTCTGTCCCTTCTAGAATGTGACCTCTTCATTTTTAGGCTAAAATTCGAAAACAATAATTTTATCTAGTTTTTCATCATGTGTATGA